AATTATATCACTGCCTTTGTAATATAGATATATTAATTTTTAAAAATATATATATCGCTCAATTCTTGTTTATGGTACTTCTGTGGCCACAGTATATCTGAAAACTGGTCTAGGTCACATGGTGGCTAGAGATACGGTGAGAACTAGGGTCAAATGCTCATCAACTGTGAAGTCTGCTTAGTGACTGACTCTGGGTCTATCGCTCTCTGTCAGCATCACTCAACTCACAAGTTTATTGTGAGGATAAAATGGTGAAGGGCACAATGCAGGCCCCCTTCAGATCATTTGAAGAAAGGTGCTATCATAAATGTGATACATTTTTTTAAAATGCAAAATGAGAGCATTGCTAACCTAAACAGACACATAGGCTTCTCTTCCTCCCAGGACTTGATACCACTGATTTATATTGACAGCAACCTTATATTTCTTCTTTTAATTTTAAAGGAACACAAAGGCCACAAAATGGAAGCTGAGCGACAGCTGGTTGACTTATTTCTCTGCTGTGCATTTCACTGTCATCTTAGAATTGTGGCCATTTTTATAAAGGAGGGTTATATCACTTTATGTCATCAAAGTTCATTTTTCATGGAGAAGGAAAAAGAAAGATAGAAACTGTAATGCCAATAAGCCTTTTGCATAAAGTTGGCTTTATAATGGAATATTCAACCTACAGCTGATCAGAAGTCAGAAGTGAAGCTTTTATTTTAACTCCATTAGCCAATTAAATTATTTGGGGGAGAAACGGGGTGGGGGAATTAAAGATATATTTCAACTTAAATCAATGAAGTGAAGTCTAAAAATTACTCGGACTTAATTGGCTAATCCTGTTTACGGTGTAATGGGAGCCTTTTCTCAACCTCCTCCCTTTCATAATCTCTGATTGTTTTCTGAAACATCGGAATTACTTTAATAATTTGCAAAATGATGACTAGAACCCTGATCTCCCAAATCCCAATCCAGTGATTTTACTATTACAGTCGTGCCCTGCTTAACGGTTGCCCCACATTACGACAAATCCGCTTTACGATGGTTTTTGCAATCTCGTCTAAATGGGCGAATTTCACTTAGCGATGATCGGTTCCCTGCTTTGGGAAACAATTTTCGCTTTATGATGATCAAAAACAGCTGATCATCGGGGTTTCAAAATGGCCACCAGGTGCTTAAAATGGCTCCCCGCTGTTCTTAGGAATGGATTCCTTGCTCTACAGGGAGCGAAAATGGCTGCCGTATGGAGGATCTTTGCTGGACGGTGAGTTTTCAGCCCATTGGAACGCATTGAACAGTTTTCAATGCGTTTCAATGGGCTTTTTAATTTCGCTTTACGATGTTTTCGCTTAACAGCGATTTTCCTGGAACGGATTATCGTCGTTAAGTGAGGCACCACTGTACACTACACTGGCTTTCCTAGAATAAGGATTATTGTTGTTAAGCGAGGCACCACTGTGCACAACATTGGCTTTCCTAGAATAAACATGGACACTCGTCTTCATCTTTTAGCTCAAACATTCATTATGAGATTCACTCATTACTATATTTCAACCCATTTTTAACCATGGTTTTATTCTTGCAATTACAAGCCACCTTAAGTTAGTTGTGATACCTTTTCTCCCCAATCTCACCAGTTTGTCAAGTGCTTCATATTTCTTCTCTGACTCCACCTTTAAGAGTACATTTATACAAGTGTGAAAGTAATCGTCATTAGGAGTGGGAATCTACCCCACACCAACTGTGTGTGTTCTGTGCCATCAAGACAGGACCAACTTATAGTGACCCTCGCCCCCACACCAACTGTGTGTGTTCTGTGCCATCAAGACAGTGACCCTCGTAGGGCTCTCAAGGTAAATGAGATATCTAAAGTGGGGGTTTACTAACATCACACTTGTCCAGTACATTTCCATGGCTCAGATAGCATTTGAATCCACGTCTTGAGTCTTTGTTCATCATTCAGTCCACTCCACCGCACTCAGTGTACTGCATCTATCTAACAACTGTGTGTGTTCTGTGCCATCAAGACAGTGACCCTCGTAGGGCTCTCAAGGTAAATGAGATATCTAAAGTGGGGGTTTACTAACATCACACTTGTCCAGTACATTTCCATGGCTCAGATAGCATTTGAATCCACGTCTTGAGTCTTTGTTCATCATTCAGTCCACTCCACCGCACTCAGTGTACTGCATCTATCTAACATTATTCAAAGAGAAGTAACAACTTTTCTGATTACATTGCTTGTTGAACTAATGGAGCCGCTACGATTGACTCTGCTAGGGACTGAAACATTTTAAAGAATATATATATGCATATAATTCATTAGAGAAGTTATTGGTTTGTACAAAAGGCCAGCAAGAACCCCCCCCACTAAATTTCACAATCAACATTGCCAAACAAACAAAAGAAAAAAGAAAAAGAAAAGTGTTTTAAGGTATACAAATGGACTTATTTACTATAGCAAGGAAAGAGCTGAAATAATGTCATAACTAAGATAATTGTTTCAGGTTTATTATTATTATTCCGAGGAGGGATTTTGAAGACAATATTAATGCTCGCAGAAATGTCCCGGCCCTCTTGCCCATTATTCTGAGTACTGGTGGCACTCACTGCAAGTGAAAGGGATCTGTGCCTGACAGTAATGCATACGACACATGCGGTACTTCCTCAGATTAGTTTCATTATTGTTTTTGTTGTTGCTGCTGCTGCTGCTGCTGTTGTTATTATTATTACTGCTGCTAATTACATTTATACCCTGCCTGTCCACAATAAAGTAGCACTTAAGGTGGTTCAAAATCTTTATAACACAACCAGAACATCTATACCCCCAATTTTAACCATAAAATTGAGTTTTAAAAAATACATCTAATCAATTACTGTACATGCATTAAAGTTAAGGTGGTTCAAAATCTTTATAACACAAGCAGAACATCTATACCTGTAATTCTAACCATAAAATTGAATTTTAAAAAAATACACCTAATCAATTACTGTACATGCATTAAAACATTAAAACCAATTAAGTGTGCAGTTCAGAAAACAACACAGGAGGGCAAGTTGAACATCAAGTGCCAATTTGAAAAGATGTCTTTGCACATTGTTTTTGAAAGCAGCCAAAGTGGAAACTAATCACAGCCCTGAAGGGAGTAGATTCCATAGTCCAGGAGCCATGCCTGTTAGGCAGGTCTGTGAAACAGCTGGGATTCTTAAGAGGACCCTTCCTGAAGACCCGAATATCTGGAGAAGCTTGTAACGAGATAGGCGGTCTTTTAATTAGCCAGGACCAAGCCATTTAGTGTTTTAGATACCTTAAATCAGGCCCAGTAAGCATCGAGCAATGAGTATGGATCTTCACTACTGGGGTCATACAGTATGATTGCAACACCATGTACAAGTTAGCAGCCTAGCTGCTGCATGTTGCACCAGCTGAAGATCTTGGATCCTCTTCAAGAGTAGCACCAGACAAGACTGCATGGCAGTAATTAAGGCATGATGTAATTAAGGCATGGGTGACTGTTGCTAATTTAGGTCAACTCAAGTAAATGTGCTTGTACAAAAGCACTCCTCATCTGTGCTGCCCCCTGGGACTCCAGGGATAACAAAGAATCAAGCAACACTTCCAGGCTACAAACCGGACCCTTCGGGGCAGTGCAACTCTTTTTACAACAGGTTGAATCCTAATTTCCAAACTTGGCTGTCTATGGACCAGCAGCACCTCTGTCTCGTCACCTTGGTCATCCTCCTCCAGCCTACAGTTGAGCTTAGACAGCATTCAAGGGCCTGGACTGGTTCATTGGATAACAAGGAGCAGCAGAACTGCCATCAGAATATTGATGGCCCCTTACGCCAAAGCACCAAAGGGCCTGTCTCAGAGGCTCCATAGAGGTGTTAAATAATATAGGGGTAAGAGTCACCACCAGCCAAAGGGCACTGGTTTGAACCATGCTCCTCACACACCACCTTTTGTGTATGCCATGGCAGGAAGAATGGGAACCATTGCAATACAGTGCCCCCAGCCACCAGCCTAGCTAGGTGATCCAACAGGATAACGTGGTCAATGGTACTGAAGGTTGCTGAGCCATCCGGAGAACTAATCCGGTTGCGCTTCTCTCCTATCCAAGCCCTAGTGCAGGTTTTCTACTGGGTAACCAAAGCATAGCAGCTAGCAGGACAAGTCAGACAAATACATAAGGAACTACACACAGAGAAGGGCCCTGTGCATAGGATTCCAGGTCTGGTCTGGAATCTGTTAGATCCATGAGGCAGGTTGCTGAGTCTGCTTGCTGGCATCAGACGAGACTACCAGCCTTCATAGCATTTTCCTCCCATTGGGCAATGACAGGGGAAGATCAATCTTCCATCCTTCCTCTCCATCCGGAGGAAGTGGAGGGCCCATTAGCTTTGACAATATCAACCGTTTATTGGGTAGCTAGGCATACCTCTAGATCGCAGGTGGCCTAGGCTCTCCTCTGGCTACTGTGGCAACAGCATGCATTTCCCGCTGGGCAGCTACATAATTACACTGCTGTTGCAGCCAGCAAATCACCGCAGATTAAGCAAGAAATCATTTCAGCTGTGGAATGAGTGCCTTGCCATCTGCCTTGACAAACCTAAGTTGACGATGTTGTTTTTAAACCGAGTAGCTATCCTAGGTTGACAGAGAAAGCAACCCGGACCTTCCAGTTACCTCCAGCAGTTGTGTTTTTCAATTTCCAACCACCCCGACAAAATGATTAGCTCGGATGAAATTGGGAAATACACACTGAGTCTTAAATACTGTACACTCTTCGACAGTGTTCATTGCTGAATGTGATTAGCTCGGATGAAATTGGGAAATACATACTGAGTCTTAAATACACTCTTCGACAGTGTTCACTGCTGAATATAACACTCCTCATTTATGGCAAAGTATTTAACACAGTAATGGAAAAACCACACACAGTTCAGAATCTCAGGCAAAGCAAGAAGAAGAAGAAGAAGAAGTAAAGAATGCAAAGAATGAAAATGTCATTGACCTGATTTGTCAGTGATGCTGGCCGGGACCGGTGTGGAGGAGCCATTCGTATTAGCCTTTGCACTGTTCTTGGAAGCACCAGCTTTGGGTCTATTTTTCGTTGCTTCTAGCGCTTTGACTTTCTTGGCATGTTTACTTCCTTTGTAGTGGGCCTCGGCCTGGCTCTACAAAGGAGAACAAATCAGGCTCATCATTTGCATTTCATACCGCTCCGTGGATGAAAACGTCGAAACAAAAGTTAGACAGCTTTCAATAATAGGCACTAAATTCGTTTTGCTTGATACGATATATATATATATTTGGTGGGGGATTGCGCTTTCATTCTTGATCTTGCTTTTACGTATCAAGGACACGAATATCAGATTTTAACAGCGGTTTTATGCAGAACACATTTTTAAGACTTACAGTAAGAAGATGAGCCTCTCTACTCAATGCTAGCAAAACTCAATTTAAAGTTTAAGCTATTGCATCAACAAAAGTATGTTTCATTTAGAAAATGTCTGAATTTGTCGGAAGTTTAAAGCCTTGTTCCAAACAGAGTGCCTGAGCCTTCTGGAACCTGTTGAGCTGGATCCAGATTTAATTATACCTGGAGTAGAATCACTGAAATAAATCAGGATTCAGTGGGTTATAGCTAACTTAAGACTGACTGATTACCACGGGTCTGTTTTTAGTATGATTAAATTTAAATCCAACCCAAAAGGTTTAAAAGCATCTAAATCTGCAGAAGATTTAGAGACAAATCTTTACTGAATATATCTGAAAACACAAGGCACGTGTACTAGGTCTGTTTCTCAAAATACAACTCCATGGACCTCTGCAGGAGATGAGACTGCATCAGCCTTGCACCGTGAACTGCTCTGTGCCTGGCATCTCTCTTCCTGCTGCAGGGTTTTGCACTCTTGGCTTCCAGCAAAAAAAAAGAGAGAGAGAGGAGGTTTACTGCATCCCTAATGAGACACCATGAATGGAGGGAGGGCTGTGCTAGGTGTGTATGTGTGCCTGAATGAGCACAAGGCTACTATCAGGTGCAACACTACAAGGCCAGCACGTTTTATTAGAGTGTTATGAAGACTGATCTTTTAATCTTCAATACAAGGAAGCGAATCATGAGGTCTGTCAAGGATGGTTTTTGGGGGCCTTGGAGGAAATGGAAACAACACACAAACTCTCTCTCTCTCTTTTTAAAATCACCTTCTCAAAAATCAGGATAATAATGCCTCTAGAGCAGGAGTAAGAGGTCTGAGTGGGGATTTCCTAGCACCCTAAGGGCTGCACTCCAAAAAGGCAGCAGGACTAAACACGGAAGAGCGTGGTCCAACAGGTCAGTTTGTGTACAGTACATATTTTTTAAAAGTAATCGTTATGCATGGTACTGGTTGGTACACTGGGTTTTTGTTAACGGGAAAAAAAATAGGTTTAAACTTGGTGTTTTATAAAGGGTGGATTAAAATCAATTTTTTTTTTTAAAAAAGCAAATGGATAAAAAAATGTAAATTTAAATCATAAAAACACTTCTAATTTTTAAAATTTAAATCATGATTTAAATTGTGATTTCAAATCCACCTTGGAAAAAAAACCAAAACAAAACAGAAAAAGATCCATAGGGCTGTTTAGTGGTTAAAAAAATGGAGTGTTGGGAGCCCATCAAAATATGCTGAAGAGTCCCCCACACCTCTCTAGAGAGCACATGGTAGCTTTCTGAGAAGAGTTGATAAACCTTATTTTTAATGTCTCAGAAAAATTATAGAGAGGTGACTAGTGGTGGTGGAAAAAGCCCCTGGAGACTGCATATGGCCAGAAAGCCCACCCTGGCTCTAGGGAGTACAGATTTCTCCTAAAACAAAATGTGGCCCCAATAACCTTATTTTAGGAAAAATCTGTGTTTCTTTTTTAATGGAAGTGGCTTCTATTAAGGTGGAAGTGATCCTCTAGTCACTTACAGCTTCGTTTGGAGGGACTAGTGGAAGAAAAAAGATTCCTTGATGCCTAGAATAATATCTCCTGGATGAAGAAAACGGAAACAAATCCATGTGGACTCTCCCTCCTGTCACCTCCAAGATATACAAAAACAACAACAAAATAAGTCTTGTGGAATCTAAAAGAATGACAAGCTTTACTGGGCATAAGCATCTATAGATGGTAGCCCACTTGTGGAGTCAATAACCACCTTTTGCTCAAAATGCTGTTTCTTAGTATAAGCTAAAAAGTAGCTTTTGCAGGGACGGTTTGCCAGGGAGGGGTGGACTGAAAGTTATGGTGCATGCTAAGCAGAGATGGGCACAAACCACAGCTTGAGGGCTCAGCTCAGTGCTGCGCCACACAGGTGTTCAGTGGGGGCCGCACACTCCCCCCCTCTCCCACCTTCCCTGCACTCTCACTCATTTCTCAGGCAATGCAGGTTTCTCTACCAACCTCCTCAGCTCAACTGGCCACTCACCGTTTGCAGCAGGCACTTCCCTCCTCTGGCAGCTATCCACTCAAAGGCAGCACTGCAGGCACCTTGCCCCACCTCCTTGTCTAGGTGGACGAGGGGGGGGGCCTTGGAGGAAGTGGAGGAGAGAAGCGGGCACTGAAAAACTGTGACCTGGAGGTTGTGCTGAGGAGGCGGGGAGGGAAGTGGGCATCACCTGGGAAATGGGTGAGCACGCAAAGGAGGCGGGAGAGGGGAGTGTGCAGCGCACACTGAACACCCATATGGGTACTGAGCTGAACTGGGTCAAACCACCAGACTGTGGTTCGTGCCCATCCTATGCTAAGCAAAAGGATTTTGTCCTGTGAATCTGAAGAAGGGCTCCAGGCCAAAGAAGACTATTCCAATTAAAGCTAACTAATCTCAGTTGCTAGAAGATGCCCCCCCTTGTTTGTTGTTTGTTTGTTTTGGTTTTTGGGCAGACTAACGTTGCTACTCTTTTGGAAACTTAGCAGCATCGTTTTACCAATGGACCCTGCTACTCGGGGAAAAGATTGCCAACGGTTTTCATTATGCTTTAGAAAACATTTTCCAAAGCTGTTATTTTTCATAACACAGTATGTGGTGAAAACACTGTAGATCTGGAACAGACAAGAGTTTGAATGAAAAGAAAAAGCATAGCTTTTTCACAGTGTTTAAGCTGTCAGGTATAATGTGCATCTCATGCTCAAAAACTTTATGAAAAATAGAACATACACCACAATTCTATATCCGTGTACTCAAAACTAACTTCTGTTCAATGGGCTTTACTCTAAGGAAACTGGGCACATGTTTGCAACTCAGATTGCGCAAACTCAGGCATATAGGCGTAGAAGTACATCTCACTGAATTCTCTAGGACTTTCTTCTGAATAGACATCAATAGTACTGGCTGTACGTTAATATTGTCTTAGGTATCTTTGAAACCTAGAGCAGTCTAGGGCGGATGGTTCTTTCTTACCTATGTCCTCGGCATGTCCAAACATCTCTAAACACTAGCATTAACATGATATGGTCATCAGCTCCATGCATTTGATTATCCACACATGCACAAAGACATGAGTGGGGGGATACCTGAGGCATTTAACATCTTGTATAGAATGGATAGAGCCAGCTGCCACATAATCAAGTATTTAGTACAGTACTGGGTGTTCTAGAGTGACAGTCAAGAATAGATGTGATATGGATCATATCTACTACTGCTACAATATTCTAATACATTTATTATTCTATTAGACATTTTTAAATTGACAAGAAAGAGCCTTCTCTCTTTTTCTCACTCATTTTGTTTAAAATTTTCTGTTTTATGATGAAGGATTAGGTTTTACGAAACAAAAGGCAAGTATGCCTGTGCCTTTATTGAAGAGTAAATATTAACTGTTTTAAGTTAAACATAATTCAGGTTAACACCACATCCCTAACCACCCTAACTGGAAATAAACCAGAACTTGCTCCCACTGAACACATTTATAGATGGGATGTATGAGAAAGCACAATTCTCCTAGACAATGCAGTGAGGTGACAACATCTCTCTGCCACACATAATGGAAACACAGCGCTAGGCGCATTTCTTGTTTCATTCACTGCGCTGTTCAGAATCTCATGGCCAACATGGGTTAAGACTACTGCCTTTCGCTCACTGTGTTAAGGGGAAAGCAAGCTGTAAAACGAAATGCACAAACTTTTCTCAACACCTCTGCTGGATCTGAAATCCTTGGGGGTGTCGTTAAAGCATTGTTGATACAGCAAAAACAACTGATTGACTCTCAGTGTAAGTAGGTGCCACTGAACAGTCCCCCTCGGGACTTCAGGTAATAAGAGAGCCTTATCACTGGGGTTTAAGTGAACGGTAAGAGCAGGTGGAAGGGAAAGGAAAACAGACACACATGTCAGGGTTTGGCAGCAATCCTTGTGGCACATACTTGCACTCCTGAAATCACTGCAGGTAAAATAGCTATTAAGGTCCAGCAGATAGGCTAAGGAGCCATAGTACATCTGCAACACAACTTTTTCCTGCACTAAAAAGAACAAAGTACACTATATGCCGTATTTCTAGATGGCACATTTTTTCCTACACAAAGCTGTGCAAAAACTAAAAACAAAGGATTAGCATACTGGGGAAATATTCGGGTAAATATTCAGAAACACAGCACTCCATTAGTAAAATATTACATATAGCAAGGATGACTAATTGTAAAAAAATTAAATTAAAACCTTTCCATATCATCAAGTACCATACAAACAGTGAGTGAATATGATTAAACAACCAGCAGCACCAATCCTAAACATGCTTACTTGAAAGCAAATCCTACTGAGTTCAATAGGATTTCCTTCCCAATGGGTAAGCTTAGGACTGTAACGTTAATTGAATAATCAATAATTGTATATGTACAGTACTTAAAGGGACACTAGTCCATTTAAAGCTAACCCAATCCTTTTGCAAAATATTCAGCTTTGAAATGAATCCTTCTGTAAATATTTTAGTATGGTAGATGGTTGCATTACAAGAAGGGTGGATGCAGATTTTCTGCCTCAATGTGACACCCAACATTGGGCCTCCAGATGTTCTTGGACTTCAACTCCCAGAAATCCTGGCCAGCAGAGGTGGTGGTGAAGGATTCTGGGAGTTGTAGTCCAAGAACACCTGGACGGCCAGGGTTGGGGACCACTGTTAGAACAATACTTTTAAAGAAAGTTTTCCTTCCTTCCTTCCTTCCAAACTTCTTGGAATTAAACTGTGCCAATACAGCACAGTTGACTGGACTTGAATTTACTCATAGCTTGCTGCTATGGAGCTTTTTCTTGTTTAACAAGAGCTGGCATGGAATGGAAGGCGAGAAGGGGAGCTTTAATCTTCTACTCTTGACTACCGCACCAGGTGGACCTTTCCTATAGCTGCTATTCATGATGGAAGGGAAGATGCCATTGACACTGGGGTGGCGGCAAGAACATTTCTAACACTGTCAATAGCTGATGTTGCATGTCGAGGGGAAGTAAAATTATAGTCAGCACTGCCCCAAGGACAAGGAATTCCATTCTGCATGGTCCTGGTTCAGATTAGTCTCAGCACCCTGAGCCATCTATTTTTTAAAAAACAATTAATGTGTAAATTATATCACCCTACATAATCCAGTGAACTCTGGTTCTCAGGGACAGTTATTTGTATTCCTTCTTGCCACTGCATTTCTGAGCATGAATAACCATTTTTTTTCCTAACAGGGCTACAATAAAAGCACACAAACAGGGAGCTAGTCTTGTAGTCCTGAAGATGACAAGCAATGTCATCTTCAGAACTCTGTCAAGGATGAGAACGGGAGAAAACCTTGGGACATCCCCCATGTTTTTTTTTTCTGTGCCTTTTTCATTAATGTATCAAAGAAATCTCATATTCAAATAAACATCGGCTTTCCCTTGTTCACTCACCATATATAAGGAGAAGGCAAGGGAGAGGGGAGGGATCATAAGAGCAGGTCAGAAGCCCCTTCCCTATTCTTATCCTCTAGATCAGTGGTTCTTAACCTTTGTTACTCGGATGTTTTTGAACTGCAACTCCCAGAAATCCTGGCCTGCAGAGGTGGTGGTGAAGGCTTCTGGGAGTTGCAGTCCAAAACTCCTGAGTAACCCAAGGTTAAGAACCAGTGCTCAGATGATCATTCACGTATCTCTTGTTTTCAAAATATTTTTATCTCACCTTACCTTTATTTAAGGATTTCAGGGAGGTGGTATGCCTGTTTTACATTACCTAGTTTCCAGGGGATAAAGCTGCTTCTGAAAGCAAGCATTTTAGAGCTAAATTCAGTTGCTAGGCCCATCTAGAGGAGGAGGCAATGAGACCTCTTGAACTAATGCTTCTGTCTGTCCCAGTGTTTCGAGTTGGGATGCACACCTGGCTTCAGGCCAGAGAATCCTCTAAACTCTAGTGTAATATGAGTGGTCACGGCGATCAGTTACAGTAAGCATAGAGCGTTTAGATGGATAGCCAGCTTTCAAATAGACCATGTCCCTTTAAATGGTTAACTGTAGCTATCTTCACTGCATAGTTTGCAATACTGAAAAGGCCAGAGGCAAAAGTGGGGGAGAAAATAAAAGAAAAGGAAAATACAAACTACAACATGATAAACAGAAGTGCACCCAAGAGAAAGGCTTACTTCATTTGGCCCTTGCCTAATAAGCCTTTCTGCTGATATTGGCAATAGGGACGCCTGCAATATCAGAGATAACCTACTACTGGCTTTGATTCCCTTCATTCCTTCTTTCCTCATTTATTGTACATGAAACCTGTTGAAAACAAACATGTCCAAACAGTTTTAGAACTAGTTACAAACTACACCCGGCTGAGACAACTCCAATGCTTACTTTTTTTAAAAAAAAGATACACATACAAAAACCTTTTTAAATCTGAAAAACAGAATAAGAGAAGTGTATCAATTCACTAACAGGCTGCATTTTGTGCAACAAAGACTTAATCTACCTTTCTAAAGATATACTCACACTGATTTCAGAAAGTGTTTGTGCAACAAAGACTTAATCTACCTTTCGAAAGATATACACTGATTTCAGAAAGTACCGTATTTTTCTGTGTATAAAATGATACTTTTATCTAAAATCTTTAAAAATTGAATTGAGGGGGAAAGGGTCCAAAGTGCTGCAGGATCACAGCTCTTTGATCCTGCAGCACTTTGACTGCTGCTTTCCCCCTGCACTTCATAAGCCCCACGGGGCTTAGGAAATGGAGGGGTAAAGTAGTGATGAAAGGGCTGCAGGATCAAAGGGCTGTAATCCTTTCATTGCTGCTTTACCCCACCACTTCCAAAGATTGCTGCTTCCCCCCTCCACTTCTGCAGCCCTTTGATCCTACTTTCGTGGGGCTTAGGAAGTGGAGGGGGAAAGCAGTGATCAAATTTTCTTATTTGGGGTTGGAAAAGTGTAGGTTGTCTTATACATCGGCTCATCTTATACACGGAAAAAATACGGTATCCGAGATATAGAACAGAAGCAATTAAAACGACACTCATTTTAAACAGATGATATAGGGCACAACCTACAAAGCAGCATTCTTACCCACGATGCTATCTGTGTCTCTTCATAAGCAGTACTCCAAAGTAACCTGAGCAACGGCAGTGTTCTCCACCCCAGGCTAGTTACTAGGACAGAGAGCATTCTGGGAAGAGGAGCTAAGCAGCAGTTTGGATATATTTTATTGAACTCTCCAACTTTTGTTAAACTTGAAAGTGGCTGCCTCCTATTTTCCAAATTTTGAGTATCCCTTGCAACCTTTCTAAAGGCTTCTGATGCATGGGTGTCCAAATGAAGAAAGCACAGAGATGTGCCACTTTCTGTGTCTCTGTTTTCAGTGGAAATGGGAACACTGCCTGTGCAGGCAGCCTTGGAATGAAGGACACCGGAATAACTGTAAGTGAGCAAATCAAACATTGAAATGGAAAGGTCTTCAGCGCTGCGGACATCTGCTTTTGGCTGTTACGCAAGCAGTAATCTACCCTGAAATCCCAGTGGTTATCTCTGCAATCAAAACGTGTAGGTTACTTTAGGAGACTGTCATTGACCGTGTAAAAGGTTATCTGCCAAAATCTAAAAGCAGGTTTGAGCATTTTTGGCTTTTGAGACGTGTCAGAGCGATAATGTGTGTAAGCAGGAAAGTCAGGAACAGAGAATAGCTCAGTAGGGGTGGGCCTTTCCTGTTTAAAATGTAAGACCCCCAAAACCAAAAATTCGTGTTCTTTTGTCAGCAGTAGAAAAAGAAAGAGCTTCTGAATTGCTGACTGCCTTCCTGTCTCCATGTTGGATGCTTTCCTTTTTTTGCTCCCTTTGCATAATTTTTTCCTCTTCTACTTTGTATGTATGTATGTATGTATGTATGTATGTATGTATGTATGTATGTATGTATGTATGTATGTATGTATGTATGTATGTATGTATGTATGTATGTATGTATGTATGTATGC